TTTTTTTATATGGGGCCCCCCCCCCCCCCTCCCCGTGATGACTGAAGGCTCTGAAGCATGAGAATAGCCGAGAACAAGCATGTAATGATTCAAGTATCCATTAGGATTGTAAGAACGCCATACAAATGATTATACATGTTTGATTACATTAGCCGTACTGTAGAAGGTAATCCTGGGTTCAAGTCAAGTGGAGCTGAGATAATCCAAAATTGACCCAGAAACAAACTGCCCAAAATCCCCTGCTTTACGTTGCATGAAGACACCTCACTTTCCCTACCAGATTCTCATCTAATATCTGATCAGCAGTGATTAGGCCTTAACACCTTTGCCTGTATGCACTATGCTTCAAAATCCATAGATTAGCCTTCTGGCTAAACTAAACATGATAGTTATGATGCTAATCTTCACTGTAATTGGTGGTGGGAAGAGAGTACTTGTCATTAAAGGTTTCAATAAAGCTTTATCCCATCAGCACTATCCTTCAATTCTGCACCAAGTCTTTTTTTTCCGTTGGTCCACAAAGCTCGCTCACTACGCTCACAAACTGGCTAACTGGCTTGAAACCAACTTGGTAATAGAATTTTTGCACCTTCAAAGCTCAAAGCAAGAGCTCTGCTTTGCTTCTGTTGATGACGCTGGCCTCGTGGAGGCCGGCGAAATATTCTTTAAGAGTGTCCTTGTCTTTGCTCTGTAGAGGCGAGCCTCCCAGGAGAGGAAATTGGTGACGATAAGAGCTGCCACTGTGAGTTTCTTACTCAAGAATTACCTCCGGGATTGAAGGTTGCAATAAGGGCAATCTGGTAAGGCTTCGCTTTGCTCTGCAATTTTTATGGTTCTGCAATGTTTATTTCACTCATGGATGACAATTGTGATTTGGGCTCGATAGTTTAGGAGAATAGGTTATCTGTAATCTGTAATAATGACACTGTACTTAAGATGTTAATAACCGATGGACATGGAGACATCATTTAAAAAGAAAATATTTTAAGTAACCCTCCAGGTTATCTCCAAATAGGGTGGTGTAGATAATCTGGCTAACCTGCTGTCCTATTTACGACCTGTATTATTTTGTGTAGCATTTCCCAAGATCTCAGTATGCACTTTTGTGAGTTCAGTGTCATCATAACAACCAATATGGCCGAAACCGAACAATAATAAACACAACTATAACAACTATGAAAACAAGGTTGAGTGTGGACGTTCTTCTTCTTACAGTTGTTTGATAATATACTGTTAGCTCAAAAATGACAGTAAAGTTATAATAAATTACCATCTCAACTCAAAACAGTTTTTCTCATCTATTGTGTCAAGTTGTTATGATAGCCCTTTTTCTCAGAGGACACTTGTCACAGTGGGAAAAACACAATAGTGTAAATAAAAAAAAACAAAAAACACTGCTGTGCATTGTGTGTGAAAATAACATTTCCTCCTTCAGCATCATGAGGTTTCTGGTGTCAAAGAGGAGGTTCAAAGAGAGCTTGCGGCCTTACGATGTCATGGATGTGATCGAGCAGTACTCTGCAGGTCACCTGGACATGCTGTCTCGCATTAAGAACCTGCAGACCAGGCAAGTGCACGTTCACTCCACAGTATAATTTAGCTACTTTAAATATGAGCCACATTACGTTTTTTTAAAAGTAGTTTCAGATGCTGTTGTTTGAACGTAAATGTCAGGATGGATGTATGGAAGCATTTTCAAAGTTATTTCTATAGTGCAATGATTTGTTTAAATTCAGTATTGTGTTGGAGATGTGTGATGTTTGTGGTGTCACTGGATACACACATGTTGTGACACGCGAGTCATTGATCTGCCTGTTTCATTTGTCCAGCTACATGTGTTGTATTCAGATCTCAGTTTTATATCAGTAAACTTAATCAAAATACGATTCACTCTTCCAGCTCTGAATGCGTCTCAGATTCATTTTAGAAAATAACATTGATGTATAATTCATATTGTTTTCTATATCAGTTTTCCCTCCCACAAATTAGTTCCTCCCATCTTAACCCCCTCTAAAGGTCTAACATGTAGGATAAATATATTCCAACAGTGAAATACGTACACTTTTCATCCACGAAGCAAGTCAGACTCACCGTATGTCATGGGTGTGTGGAATATATTGAGACTTCTTCTCCATAGCTGATGTGATTCCCACGTTGCTTCATTTTGCATTGCACTCATATCGTCTCTGTGTGCCTTGCCAGGATAGATATGATTGTGGGGCCCCCTCCCCCTTCAACACCTCGCCATAAGAAGTCCACTGAAGGTCCTAGGTTAGGTTAATAGACTGCACCTCTAGAATGACCATTTTACCAGCATTATGCTCCTTACACCATAGACCAAATATTGAAGCAGTTACATGCTACCTTATTATTTTTGATTGACGGCACCCCTTTTGAGTTTAAGCCAAGTGACCTGGCTCATTGAGCCGGAGAAAAGGTGACACATGAAAGATTTTGTATCAAATCAAGAAAAACAGTTTGATAAAATGTTTTATATGCAACATCTTCAGGATGTTGTGTCCCTGTTTTAGCTCTTTATGTCACATTATATCAGCTGCTACCAAGAAAAGGCCCAAAAAAAGTGAAACATCCCGTGGCTTTCTCACTGAATGTTAATGAGTCATGTCATATGGCCTCACTCAACAGGGGTTTGACAGTGCTAGATGCTTGCTCTCATACCGGAGAGACACAGGGAGAGCTCCCCCATCAGGATGCAATGGAAATGAAGCATGAAGCACAACAGAAGCATGCCAAGTGATGCATTTTGACCATAGACAAAAAGACCCCTCGTCACACTTTGTTTCGTTCAAGACTGCCTAATCTCATAATGCATGCACCCACACCGTCCACCTGAGATCAATTCTCTCTCAGTGTTAGGCCATCATTCATTCACTCAAAGCACATTTATTTGTAGTTTAGCAAGTATCATCAACATAAATGCTTTCTTTACTTATTTCCCATATTAAAGTAATTCACATTATAGCATCATGAACTTTCTTAAGTAAAAAATAAAATATGTCCTTTGTGGCAGAACAGTGTTTTTATTTATTTATTTATTTTTTAATAATCTCAGATATTACATTTCTCAAATGCTAGAGTTGACCAGATAGTTGGTAAAGGTCCTAAAGCTGAAGGAGAGGCTGCAGAGGACCAGAGCATGATGGGACGTCTGGTCAAAGTGGAGAAACAGGTAGGAATGTTTCACCCAGGTCTGTAAAAGTTGGTTCGCACTGAGATCAAAATTGTATGTTTTTCTGATGATCAATATATTTTAACTCTGGTAAAGGAACACCACTTGTTCATTGTGTTTTTTTCTTTTTCCCTACAGGTGGTCTGTATGGACAGGAAACTTGATTTCCTGGTCAATGTGTATGTGCAGCGTATGGGCATCCCTCGCTCTGAGACAGAGGCCTTTTTCAACTCCAAAGAGCCGTATCCAGCCCCGCCTTACCACAGCCCAGAGGAGAGCAAGGAGGAGAAGGAGGGAAAAGAGGAGGTGAAGGAGGAAAAGGAGGTGAAGACATGCTCTGCTGCAGATGTCCCGTGCTCTGATGTGTCGGTGGAAAAGAGAGATCCTTTACTGGGTCGGTCCGTGGCGAGATCGGTGGGTACTCCCTCCGGCAGCAACAGCCGCCCTTCTACCTCTTGGCAGCACCAACTGCAGCACCCCCTGAGCCAGCCTGCCTGGAACAGCAGCGTGGCCAACACCCCTTCACCGGTCGGTGGCAGCGGCGAGCACTCGCCCACCCTGTTCCGCCTTCCTCCTCCGCCCGCTCCGGTTCACGACCGGTCCTCTTCCGCCCTGGGTGGCAACAGCAGAGAGAGCGGCTCCCAGAGCAGGAGGCGCCACAGGAGGCAGAGGTATCAGCAGGATGCCACCGCCGTGGAGAGCGACACCTCTCTCTCCATCCCGTCTGTTGACCACGAGGAGCTGGAGCGCTCTTTCAGCGGCTTCAGCATCTCCCAGGCCAAGGAGGACTTCTTTGGGCCTTCTTTCTTTACGGGCTCCGGAGGGGCAGCCGGTGCAGGGACTGATGCCGGAGCTGGACATTCACTCTGTGCCAGAGTCAGACCCTTCATAGCAGAGGGCGAATCAGACACAGACTCTGACCTCTACGCTCCCTCGCCTCTGTCCTTCACCGGAGAGGTCACTTGTGGAGAGAGGGGATGGCCAGGACTGAAGTAGGTCAGGAAGGACTGCTCTGCCTGGTGGAGAGGGATTCATGGTGAAAGAGGTCGGTGCTGCAGTTGCCAACAGGAGACCTACCATGAGACTGTGTAGCCAACTGACTGACTGTTGTTGCTGATGATTAAATTACAGACTATTTTAGGTTACGTGAATGGGTATGATTAGCTATTTATTACAGAGGATGGTGAAAATACGTTCTTATTAAAACAACGGGATTGTCCTTTATCACCTTTTATGTTTGTGATGTTGCACTTTACAAGCAATGCTTAGTTACAGTTGTGTTGTATTCATCGAGATCTTGATTAAATCGAAAAACTAGCTGTTTAAGGACACTTCTTTAACTTAGTTGAGAACATGTATTTGTTGTATTAGTGATGACAGATACATGTGTGAGAGTGTAATGTAAGGCACTTGATTTTTTGCATTGAAACTGACTGACTGATTTGTATCAAACAAACGAGAACGTCACTTTGCTTTCTTTTATGAGTAGTGGGTGCATTTCGGCACGTCTTCGTTAAACACTGCCCACTTTAACTTTGAAAACATAGTGGCAGTTAGTAAAGCTGCAAAGATCGTTGAAGTCCTATCATGTGGTTAGCATAGTGTCTTGATAACTTCTATACCTTTGAATGACTTGAGGTGTTATGATGCCAAAATCTTAGCTATGATAATCAATTAGATTCTTGCAGAGTGAAAAAAAACAAACAACAAAAAAAAACAGTGCTTGCTTTTCAGCATCATTAATTCAGCCTGGTGTTTACTGAATACTACAGAAGAACTCCCCTCAGAGTATTGCAGATACTTCCCCATCAATAAACCACTGAACTTCCTGCATGGCATGTTAAATGGTTGATTTAAGGACCGTGTTAAGCAGGCTACAAAACCAGACAAACAGCGGCAAAAAGTCAGCACAAAAACTCAGTGAGTGTTTTTTTTCTTCTGTACAGACAAACAGCAGTGAATAAAACATGAAAATGTGCATGCATGACTGGTTTCAAGCTACAACGTGTTAATTTTTAAGGAGCTTTTTGCTTGAATTCCAATCATGTAAATGCAGCCTGAGCTTGCTGAGATCAACAGCTCTTCTTTTCTTGGCAAATATGTCCTTAAATTATGTACACATCCAATACAAAGGCAGATGTTTATTACCACATACTGTATGTATGGAAACAATATGGACATTAGCTCATACATTTTGTGTTGTTATGACACAACATGCAGTGCTGAGGTTGGACTGATTCAATCTTATGGGACATTTGCTACTCAGACATGATGGTATTTAGCCTGCAATGTCAATCATTTCTCTGCAGCTCTTGTCAGTTCAGCACTAAATGAGATGCAGCAATAAGAAGCAAGCAAGGCAATCAAGAACCATCCTTTACAATCATCGACATAGCCTTAATTTTCACACCCAAATGTGTTGTTTTATAATCAAACAAATCAGCAACTTCATTCTTAACATTTAATAAAAGTAGTGCAAGTACTATTGCAGGTGTTATATAAGGAGGGGGGCGGGGGGGGGGGGGGTTACGGCCAGAGAGCATATGCTCCAGGTCACAAATTTAGCCACTGTTAATGCTAAAAGCATGGGATTCATAGGGACATCTAAAGCTATGAACAGTTCTTGTTAAAAACTAACCCAATCACAGCAAATCAACTCCAACATTTTAACATTAACACTAACATGTGGACGTGATAACAGAGGAAACATCATTTAGTAGAAAACTGTCACACGCAATTCATATTTTTCTGAAAAGAAGAAACAAAACCTGCTGCCATTTTTTTCCCCCCACAGCCCAAACAAAGGGCCTGTATGATTTTACATGACACAGTAGCTCTTAGTTCAGCACCATCATGTAACTGCACCTTCTTCAATAATAAAACTTTGTACATCACTGAACAGCACACCTTTGGTCTTTTTTTCAGTTCTGTGTCAATAGAGGAACACTGAGGTGTTCAGATGTGAGAAGGGGAACTACAGTGAGGTGTAATGACAGCCATCTTTCACTAGAGGGCGATCAAGAACTTAATTTGAGTGGATGCTTATAAAAACAGGCAATAGATAGATAGATAGATAGATGAGTGATTAGTCAGTGATGAGTCAGAGTAGCTCTAATCCACACATCCAGTATGGACTTCAGGTTTGATAACTCCTGACTCCAGTTAGCTTTTGTTGATGCCATTACCCCTCGGCTAATGGCATCAGTTAGTTCAAGATCTGACCACATTTTAAGACTAATTTATACATAAATGGAGCTAATTCCAGGGGCCTCGCTGACTTTTTCTTGCCGCTGTAGATAGAAAACTTCCTCTGGCAAGTGTTTAATCCTCCAGCAGAACACTTGTTGGCCACTGATATTGGGAAATAGGAACTAGTTCACAGTCTGCGGTCCAGTTCATCCCGAAGATGTTGGACTGGATTCAGTGGAAGGTTCCTCTCCAACAAACTGGGAAGATCATTTCTTTTTGGACCTTGCTTAGGAAAGGGACATCAAAAAAAAAACACAACCGGAGGCACTAACACTAAGATTTCCTTTCAGGTGTCCAACCCAACAGATGACACACAACTCTAGACCAAAGGTTTACAACAAGAGCATACGGCCTGTTCACATACATTTAGCCAGGTGGTGTAAATTAAACCACTCTCTACGTCAGCAAAAAGTTGATTTACTCATTGCTACTGCCTGACAGATTTTATTTAACAACCTATTTAACAACCATTGGTGATTGTAAATGAAACAGCGTGTGCCTCATGCTAAACTCTAGGTCAGCCAATTTGTTAAGTGTTGTGGAGCCAGGATTTTAGTTGAAAGGGTGATACAAATAGGAATTGATTGGCTCATTAATAAAAGTCAGATGATTGCAACACAGCAAGCACAGACCGGAGGACAAACAACCAGCAGAGACAAGCTTTTGAATCCATACAGCAGTGAATATGTGCATTTCACTACCTGGATGGAAATATCAACTACAAACAATTATGTTTTGCGGTGGAAAACATTATTATTATTATTATTATTATTAGAACACTTTGAATGTTTCCTTGGGGGTTGAGCACAGTGATAATACCGTTCAATTTGTTGGAGCCCCATCCGTGCGAGGCGTTTATTCAGAGATGAGACATCTGTGTTTAAACAGTGCCATTAGATAGAGGTGGGACATTGACCCTCTGGTGATGAATGATAAGAGCCAACAATCAATAAATCCATTAGTGATGTGGCTCTTATGAGACAACTGTCGAAAGAGAGGCCAAAAACAGATGGACTGTACGCACTTTGGTAATGGTATGTGTGCTCACATGTTTCACCGCTGAGAGCAATGAAGCTCCTCCAGCAGCCTCACTGCACACTTTGACCGCTCCTCGGCCCTTTCACCTTTTCAATTCTTCCTGTACATTGCAGTTTCCCGACAGGTGAAAAGAACAAATGCGAAGGCTTAATTTGCTGAATTTGACTTTTCTACATTTACAGCGGAAAGGAAGAAATGACTCCTGTGTCCTTGGCACCAGCTGTGTTTGTGCACAGGTCCGGACTGGTGGTCTCCATGTAAACATTTTCTTTATGTACAGTGTTAGTTAACATCAGCAAAATGCCATCAATGTCCACCAAGGGCGGACACAGGTGACCTTCCCCCTCTGTCTCTCTGTAACACACAGACACACGGAGAGACACACACGGGTCCATAATAACGATGGGGGAGGGGATTAGGGGTTGTGTAAATAATACTGCTGAACATATATCTCAATTTACATTCATTACACATTGGCTGCATTTCAGGGAATGGCTTTGTCTGATGACAAGGGCGATCTGTATTGGTTTACTGGTTCATGACTGCATTTACTTGCCATGCTCATGACCCTATGGAAAAGTGTGGCTCTTATATTCAGATATAAACAGGTGAAACATGGACAAAAAAAATCATAACATGTAAAGGGATTTATAATTGTGGTAAATCTAAGTACAGTATCTGTATCAATTAATTCTTCTCGTGTAGATCTTCAGTGTAAACTGGTGTGATCTGATTTTTTTCAAGGTAACATTATTCTGTTCCATTTCTGGCTTTTAAAAGTATTTTAAATAACTGAGGAAGTTCAGTTCATATCGTTTCCTGTGGGAGAATAATACCTTGGACAAACCCTGACTGATTACACGCAGCTCATCATTAATCATCAGACAATTACTGAATTGCATTGATCTTAAATCCCTCAAGGCTTTTGCCAGAGGCAAGTCTATTCATCCATTTATCAGACTGGACGATGGATATAACAATTTTATTGATTTATAATCTGACTTGACTAATTAGCTTGATATACTACTTATTAGACAGCAGTGTTTATATTTGAATGTGAACACATAGAAAAAAATTATGTGTGTACCTGTGTACCTATACAATGATTAACAATTATTTTTGAATTATGATAATTATTGTATGGCACTATTTAGTTTCATAGAGTTTAAAAAATGCCACAACAATCACATTATAGAGAGACATTTTATTTTAAAAACTCAGGACAGTCTTTCCAAAGCCACTTTCTCTGAGGTTAAAATTCTGCAGTCTATCATTGACAGATTTAACCATGGTTTGAATCTCATCTTCAGAAACTTAACAAGATTACCTGCAGCCATGCTAGCAGCTCTGTGGCAATCCATCCAATAAATATTTCAGTCTAGATCAAAGTGCCGGACCAACAGAGTAATGTTGCCATCCCAAGAGCAGCAGCGCTATTGTGCATAAATTTAAAAACAAATATTGCAGTAACGAGCCAAAATAATCGATTAAGGCCACGGTGGTGCTTTAAGGACAAATGTATTAAAATACATTTTAACTCCAGTAAATCATACACATAGGTTTGTACACCTAAAGCTGTGACACTGTCCGTGCAGCGCAGCACCGCAGAGACCTGGTTTCAGTTTCAAGAGAGCAAGGCCTCCGGCTGGGTGAGGCATTGTAAACAACAGGACCGGCTCTGTAGAAGCCAGTGAGGGATGATGCCTTGGTCTGGGGAAGAAGTCTGGATGACACAACACAAAAAGTGAGGATAAGGATGTGTGTGTTGTACTCTGACTTTATCTGTTCTTTGTTTTGGCTGCACGTGCATGTTAGTGCATGTGAGTCCCTCCTGTTAAACTGTTGGCCCTCCCCACGAATAAAAAACACGCCGACATGCGAGATGGCGCACTGCAGGACGCAGATCAAACGGAGGCCAGAAGTGTTTGTCGCCAACAAAACGTTTGTTTTTGGTC